CAATAATAAATTGGCAACAACCATAAGAACGAAAATAATAATAATAATAATAATAATAATAATGACAGGCTTCCCGCTCTTACCAACGATACCACCACCACCACCTTCGGACCCTCCGTCAAGGCAACTCAACCAGCAATCATTATCATCACCTTTTAATAATAACAATAATAATAACAATAATAATAATAATAATAGTAATAATCCGACCAGCGAACGATCTTTGACAAGCTCGAGCGGGAAGTTTAGAAGCAAAAAACGAAATAACATCAACAACAGTAACAACACTAACAACAACAACAACAATAATAATAACAATAATAATAATAATAACGTAGAATACAATAACAGTATCTATCTAGAAAGCCTAAATCAGTCACCTTGTCTCGGCCCAAGTTTGTGTTTAATTACAATTGCACTAATTAAATAATAACAATAATAATATTATTATTATTAATTATAATCAATCAATAATAATAATATTAATAATAAACATAATAAGTGCCCTATATGGTACCTTGATAAAATTAGATGGAGAAGATAATTCAGAGCGCATGCGCAGGGTTACATAGGAATTATGCGCCAGCGTGGCTCGTAAAATCAAAAGCCCTCATGAATAATTAATGAGATGACTCATGAATAATTAATGAGCTGACTCATGAATAATTAATGAGGATATGAATATTAATGAGCAGGCGGTATTCTATGTGTATCGATGGTGTGTTATGGAACGGTGATGACGATGAGGCAGATGATGATGATGCTTATAATGCTTGTATTGACGATGATGATGATGATTACGACAACGATGATGATGATGATGAAGACGTGATGATGATGACGAAAAAGACTAAAATTATATGATGACCTTTTGACCTGTCAACACTTTCGCGAATTTTTTTGACAGCTCTCGATCAGATATTATCGCAGCAACATCAGCAACAATATTTGCAACAGTATACACCGCAGCAACAACATCAACAACAACACTACACACCACAACAACAACAACAACAAATCATTCCGACTTTTCCGAGGACAGTTCCGCGATCAAGACTCTTATCCAACGAGCAACAACAACAACAACAACAACAACAACAACAACTGCCACCTCAACAACAATTATTTCCTCAACAATTTTTACATTTACAACAACAACAACAGCAGCAACAACAAAATGTCTTAACAAAATTCAATAACAGCAGCGGCTCTCAACAAAAGCAACTTTTCAGTAACAGTCTTGCTGGCAGATTCAAATCGTCAAAATCGAACGATAAAAATAAGTTAGTTGATTGATTGACGTTTGAATTTATCAATCAACTGATTGACAGATTAACCGACCGACCAACAGACCAACCAACAGACCAATAAATCTACTATTTTAATACTACACTATTATAATGTTATATTTATATAAACTAGGTAGAAATACTTTTAAAGCCACCTTTCACAACTTTAAACATCCTTTTCTTGACTTCAGTATTAGAAAACAATTTGATTCGGAGTGAAAATTTGAATAAAAGCTTAAAAAATTACTTAACTTTGAAGCGATGCTAAAAATTGCTTAAAATTTGTTTTTATTTAACTTTACAAGTTACTAAAGAATGTCATTTTACTTTGCTTCTAAACGACTCAGATGATGTTTTTGTAAAAATTGAAATAAAACAACTATTCTACTATATTACTTAGAGATTAATTAAAATGACTTATTCACTATAATACTGAAAATTATTAAAAATACTCTTTTAAAAGTATGAGTGTAGGAGTTAAGAGAGCCAGCAACAAGCAAACAGTTGATGCAAATGATGATTTTTCAAACTATATTGATCGAGCGTAAGTAAGAGAAAATAAAAATTTAAAGGAAAAACTTTATTATTTGTGTATTTTACTTCGAATTTAAGTTCAACGAATAATTAGTTCTCTATCCAGTAAAAGTTTAATAGTTATTATTATTATATTATTAGTTTATTTTTATTTGAAGAACATTTTATTCTAAGCTCGAGTTATGTTTTGCTGGTCAAGTCCAATCTTGAAAGCATTTTTTTTAATTAATATTATTTAATTTCATTCCATTGAGTTTTTCATTAGTACTCTTAATCATCTTTTTCGTTATTGTTTTTCATTCAGTTTTGTCGTCATAGTTTTAATTCGATCACTAATTCTCTCAATTGTTTCCGAACGTGAAATTTAATTAGCCTCATAATCTCTCTCAGTGAAATTAATATTATTAGAGTTGTTATAAAATATCTAGTAGTAGTAGTAGTAATAGTAGTAGTAGTAGTAGTAGTAGTAGTAGTAGTAGTAGTAGTAGTAGTAGTAGTAGCAGCAGTAGTAGTAGTAGTAGCAATGGTAGTAGTAGTAGAAGCTGTGGCAGTAGTATAGTGTGGCAGTAGTATAGTTACTATCAAATTTTTCTCACCAAGGTCTTCCGTGCAAAACTTTCCAACAAACGCCACTACAACAGCCACAACGACGCCGACGACAAAAAACAACAGCAACAACAACAATAATAATAATAATAACAACAACAACAACATCATGCCGAACGCTGACTACAATAAAGAGCATTACGATTCATCTTATCAGGTAATGATGATGATGAGGATGATGATGATGACGATCTTGAAAAGAAAAAACTTCACACACGAGCAAAAAATATTCAAAATTTTCGATTTTCATTCTCAAGCGAAGCGAAGAAAAATGATTGTTAGAAATTCAATTATTGACAGAAACTTTGTTTAATATTAAGAGAAAAAAAACGCAAAAATAGGTTAACCAATTGTTTATACGTTTCCTTCCCCCTTCCCCCCCTTCTCTTTTATTTTTCTCTCTCTCTCTCTCTTTCTATCTCTCAATTATTATCCATTTCTCCAACTCTCTCCCTTCAAAAAAGTAAAAATTACGACCGTTTTTATAAAATTCTTCCTTTTTTCTCCTTTTTTTCTCTATTTATTTTTTCTCTCTATCTCTCTCTCTCTCTCTCTCTCTCTCTCTCTCTCTCTCACTAGCCAATATTTTTTAAAAATCTGAAATTGTTATTTCGTAAGTCACTCTTTGCTGAAGCCAAAAAAAACTTAGCGCTAAAATAAAATTACTTTTTCCTTTAAAAAAATCTTTTCTATTTTTTGTCTTTGTTTGCAATTTTTTTTATTAAACAACAATCATCACTACCAAAACAACATACACAAAATCCTCACCATCATCATCAACATCATCTTCATCATCTTTTTCTTCATCATCATCATCATTACCTTCGTTAACAGCAACAATAACAACAGCAACAGAAATGTAACTTTTATTAATGTTATTATTTTTATTATTCCATATTTTTAAATTTAGGTAAAAAAACATTTTATTGGGAAGAAAAAATGGAAGACCATATCGATGTTACTCATGCTCACATCCGCCGTAATGTTTGCTGTTGTTATTTATTTTATAGGTTTGTATGTTTTGTATGTTTATTTATGTATGTTTGTATCGTTTGTATGTAATCTTTGTCTCTTTTTTTATACGTGTATGTATGTGTGTTTGGTGTATGTCGTCACCATCCTAATTAGTCTTGTTTATTAAGTTAATCGGTTGTATGATTTTGTAGAAGCTTGNTATATTTTTGTATTTATATGTTGCA